CATTTCGTTGCGCGCGGGCCCCGCCCGCGTCGGGGGGCCCCCTGGGGGGCCGCATGCTCTCGCCCCCGGCCGAATCATTGAAGACGCCGCGCGACATCAAGCAGCGCGCCCCGAGGTTTTTCGGCTCGCGCGGGGGAGGCGCCCCGGGGGGTGTAAGTTCGGGCGTAAGTTCGCGCCGAGGCATGGATTCGATACCGTCATTGTCAAATCCTCGCATCGCACGCGCAGGGGCCCTCGGATGCTCCGACGCCTGCGTGGCGGACGCGATGCCGTTGCGTTGCGTCCTCAGGCCCCCTTTCGGGAGATGCGTTGAATGGCGCGCTCGCCAGGGCGCGCCGCAGCGAGGCTTACTGGCAGGCGCGCCATCGCGAGAGCCCCAATGTCATTCTTCTCGCATGTGGACAGTGATACGTTGATCACCGAGGTTATGCGAATGGCGCTGACCTGTCCCAGATGGCGCGAGGCCGCCCCATCATGTGGCGTGGATGTTTCCGGATGACGCATAGGTCGGCCACCAGGCTGACAAGTGCACCTTCTTCGGAGCCTCGTTGACCATGGCCCGCAAACTCGGCCCCCTCTGAGACGAGATGGCGGGGCAGGCCAGCAACCCCGTGGTTGGCCTGGGCGCCGGCATAGTTCCCAGCTGAATGCGATCATCTAGACGGGCCGATTGGAAACGCAGGGCCTCGTTTGAGACTGCGCGCAGGAGGCAGAAGGCCTTCTGCAAGCGCGGGCGTTGCCCCCCCCCCGCCAGAAGTTGCGGGCGGGCAAGATCTACGTCGCGGGCGCCGCGCCCGCCGCCGCGCCCGGGCCCGCCCCTGCTGGCCAAGCCCGGTCTGCAACGAGTTTAACCCGGCCAGAAGAGTGTTATTCTTGCGCGAGTTGCTGCGACGCACGGGTTCCCCCCTCGCGGCTAATATCGCTGTTTTCTCGAGATCCCGCTGCCGGCCCCCCCGCGCCGCCCCTGCCCCCCACTCGCTTCGCATTCCTTGGGTTGCCCCCGCCCCCCCCGCGGATCCTCGCGACCGCGTCGCGGGGCCTCGACCAGCGCGGGCCCTGGTTCCGTTCGACGGCGGGGCAGCATGAAGGAGCTTGCGAGGCCCATCCGCAGAACGCATCTGCGTCTTCAGCGCGCGGGCTGGCACGCGACTTCCGCGTCTGCGTCTGCGCCGCCGGCGCAGACGGCGCAGTTTTGCCGCGTCTGAGCGAGGCGAGGAAACTGCACCGTCTGCGCCGACGTCCTCGCGCTAGCTGCCCCCGTAATAGCGCGTGCAAGCGCCTTCGCCCTCGGTGCAGTTCGCCGCGGCGGCGGCCCGCGCAGGCCGCCGCGCCTGGTCGCCGCGCCATATTGCGCAGGGCCCGCTTTGCGTCGCTCACATGGCAGAGCGACTGCCGCCGCGAGGAGCATTTCAGCTTCAATTCGCCCGGCATGGTTGGGCACCTCCTTAGCCTTGCCATTCAGCGTTGCTTTGAGCTCAGAATTGCCCAAGGTGCGTGGAATCTCCGCGGGGAGCGCGTCTCCCTAAACATTCTTTCTAGGAATTTCTGGGGCCCGGGGCCATATGTTTGAACCTTCGGAAATACATGGTGGCGCACGCCCTCTGCGGATGATTGCGGGCAGGAACGCGCGCGAGGGCCGCTGGGTACCACGGCGATGGCAGGGGCCCACTTTGCGGCGAGCCCGACAGCAATGAGCACCGAGTGCAGCTGCGCCAGCGCACTGGCGCCTGTGCCGCGCGCGCTGAAGCCACCAGCGAAACGCCAGAGTTGTTGCGCGGAGCCATGGGCCGTAAGGGGCTTCCTTTTGCGCGGGATGAAACTAAGCGCGAACGCCCCGAAGCCATGCGCCCCCCGCCGCCGTGGTCAACGACCAGAGGGAACCAGTTGCTTGGGTACCCATCGATCTCCAGGGCTGCGACGTTTGCATGAACGGATCTTGTTCACGCGGCGAGGCGCGCGAACTTCGCCGCGCCTCGTGCCCGTGAGTTCTCGGGCCCGGGGGGATACTGCCGCCGAGGCCGCAGAAATGGCGCGGGATGTGTCGCCTCAGATTCCGCAAACGGCAAAGCACCAAGCGATGGCGGGCTCGTCCGTATTTGAGGAGTTTTGGGCAAGCGTTTCTTCTCTGAGTGCATGACGGTGGTCAACTTCTTCCAAACCGGCGAATCGCACCAGACGGTCGGTAAACACATCCACGTTGGCATGAGGAGGGGCGCGATACCCCATGGGAAGCGTGAGCATGCGATTGTTGTAGCAGGCGCGCCACGCGCCTGCTCATTTGGTCACTGACACCTTTCCAGCTGAGGAGAGGAGCGCTGCCATCGGCAATTTCACAACGGCTTCGTTTGCCAAACATGCCTTGTCCCTCCACCCCCAACCTTCTCTCCTCGAGCGTGAGAGTATCGAAGCCCTGGTAGTGAAGTGTACATTCGCGACCAAAGTCACGGTAAACATTGTCCGTGCTTTTCATTGCTTGAAGGTCAACAGGATCCCCCGTGGGCCCAACGGCCGTTTCCGCAAGCATGGGGGATTGCACCGTTGTGAGACCTTGGATGGGGGGCGGAGCGCGTTGTCTGAGATGCCTGGCGTTTTGAAAGGGGTCCCGAGACCAGACGTATGGTACGATGCAATGGGCCCAGTAAGACTTGTCAAAGAGTTTTTGGTTCCAGCAGAGGCACGCACACATATACATATATATATATATACACATACACATATACGCATATATGTATATGTATGTATATATCGGTATTTATATACACATCTATATACACACGCTTACATACATAGATATACACATACATGCATGTATACAAACATATATGTATGCTCATATGTGTATGCATACGTAAGTGTACATGCTTACACATGTGTATACCAACTTGTGTAGTTGTTTGTTCTCTCTCTCTCTCTCATATATATATATATATGGGTAGCCCCCCCCCCCCCCGCAAAGTGCACAGGTTTGTCTAGGGAGCGAGGGATGTCCAAAAGGGCCCCAAGATGGCCCACGAGCGCTCCATGAGAGCCCAAGTCCGCACAAGAACGTTTCGAAATTGGCCCAACACGATTAGATGACAGCCCAAGAGGGCTTCAAGACGGACTGCCTAGATGCCTTCAAAAACACTTCCACGAGGCACTCAGGAGGCGAAACCAACATGTGTCGTTTTCCCCCTAGGGTTTTCGAAGGTGTTTCATGTTCTCGTTTTTTCGTGTTTCCGACGGTCCAAGGCAGCCCACGAAGCCCCAGAAATCAGTTCATGACGGCCAAACAGGCACCCAAAGAGGGCGCCACGACGGCGCAAGAAAGTCCCAAGACGGCCCAAGAGTGCCCCAAGACGGCCCAAGAGGCGCCCAAGATCGCCCAAAAGGGCTCCAAGGCGGCCCCAAGAGGGGCCCAAGAGGGGGAGCACGAATCAACAATTCGAGCTTTCCGCCGCAGGAGGCCTCCAGGTGGCCCCAAGAGGCCCCCCACAGCCCAAGAAGCTCCCTACAGGCCCCCTAGAGATCCACGAGGCCCCACAGAGGCGCACAACGAGGCCCCGCGAGCCTCCCACATGGCCCCCAAGAGGCCTCCAAAACATACCAGTGCATAGCAACGGACCGCATAGCCTATCGTGGCATCGCAGCGTTGCATGACATGACATGGCACGGCACAGCACGACAGAGCTAACCGTGTCAGTGCATATCACAGTATGGTCAAGCATGCCATAGCATTGCATTTCATAACAGTGTCTAATTGAGCCTAGCACTGCACGTCATGACGTACAATTGCCTAGTATGGCATTGCATGTCATAACACATCGTGGCGCGTTATAGCATTCCCATGCACGTAACATGAATCGAAAAGCACCGTACTGCTCTGCGCAACACTAAAACATAATCCTGCAAACTATCAACCATCCGTTGTTGTTCTTATTGTCGTCCTGCCCACAGCTTAGCAAGTCATAACATGGCATAGCATTGCATTGTATTGCGTAGCCTGGCATGTCGTGTCTGTGCATACCATGTAACACGGTAGCATCGCTTTTCATTGGCATAATAACATGATGATATCATGTTATGTTGCCTATGGAAAGCGTATCATCCCATACATTGGCATAGCATTTCACATCACAGCATGGCATGGCATGCAATGCGCATTGTAGAGGATGTAATGCTTGTTTGCATTGCTCACTGCATCGTGGCATTGCGCTTCATACCGTAGCATGGTGTGTCATGGCATTCCATAGCATAGTGCAACATGGCGCTGCAGCGCTGCATGTTTCCTCGCCCACTGCTTGGCGACAGATCACCTGTCAACCGGTCGATGAGCGGAGGAGGAAGAATGAGGAAAAGGCAGGAGGAAAATATAATGTTGACGTCGTTATTCATGTCCGCCCTGTTGTCCCATTGCGGTCAGCACTCGACTAGCTAGAACCTTAGCGCGCGAAAAGCGCGCTATGGTTCTAGTGTATATATATGTGTATATATATAATGTATATGTAGGGTTGCACCTCCACTATGGTGAGGAGGGTGCTTATGTAAGCCAGTCTTCGCCTCGGGGTGCGGCCTGCATGCAGTATGTTACCACTCTTCCGCCGCCTCCCAGGGCCAACCAGTTCCCAAGAGAGCTGGGGGCCCTGCCTCAAACGTCAGGTACGCAGGCGCTCACAACAAGAGCTCGGGAGTGGGAGGCGGCTGCCAGGGCTGCGGCAGCCGCCGCCCACTGTGGCTAAGCTGTTATCATGTGTGCTGCCTTTGGGGGTCGTCGGGGAAAAATCCTCCTCCTCCTCCTCCTCCTCCTCCTCCTCCTCCTCCTCCTCCTCCTCCTGCCTGAGCCAGCAAGTGCAATCTATGCATGTGGCCTCCAGGGGAGAACATGCGGTACTGCATCTGTTAGCCAGGCCTGATGCGTGATCCTCCCTCTCTCACGCCCCCTCGCTTCTGCCTCTCCCCCCCCATCCACCTCCGCACCCTCCCGCCCCTCTCCTTTCCATCCCCCCTTCCCTCTCCGCGAGTCGCAGCCCCGTCCGCCCTGGAGCAGCTGCGCTGGGCCGCCGGGCAGGCGCCAGTGCGCCTGGCGGCGGCCGCTGCCGTGGCGTGCGCGCCCGCGCCGGGCGCGCGCTGCGCGGAGGACGGCGGCAGCGGCGGCGCGTAGCGCCGCGGAACAGGAGGGGGGGGAGGCATGGGGGGAGGGAGGAGGGGAGGCTCCTCCTCCTCCTCCTCCTCCTCCTCCTCCTCCTCCTCCTCCTCCTCCTCCTCCAGTAGGGGACCCAGGTCGGACGCGCTCTCCTCCAAGGTGAGGCGCAGGCGCTGTCCCCGAGCCTCGGCGTCCAGATGCGGCGCTGGTTGTGGGGGAAGGCCGTGTGCGCGCCTCGGCCCGCGCGCGAGGAGGGGAGGGGAGGGGAGGGGGAGGGACCGCCTAGGTCCGCAAGCGTCTTATCTGTCGCCCCACCCCTCCATCCCATCCCCCGCCGTGGCGTAGAGCTCCCCCTCTATGCGCACAGTCGGGTGCCGAGCAGGGCAGTGATCCCGAGAGGGTACGAGACACATGGTCGTGTGCGGCGTAGCGCGGCGTGGAATAGCACGGCAGAGTGCAGCATGCCCGGAGGGAAACCAGACATGACGCAAGACGAACAAACAGATGAACGGCTCGGAAAGAGTGGAAGCGTCAAAGAACAGCCAACGGTGTAGCAAGAACACGACTTGGATTCTCCGCAACAGAAAAAGTCAGCGTTGCAGCGGGAGCAGGATCTGGAAAGACCGAGAGCCAGAACATGGAGCCAGCGTTGCAGCGGGGACGCCGTTCGGGAAACACCGAAAACGCTCGTGTTGGAAAACTACATATGGTTTATAACCTTCCGGTGATCTTATGTGTAAGAACTAATGCGCGGAGGAGGGGCACGCTACGACCTCGGGGCTTTCGGCGGAGAGAAAAGGAAAAGTAGTACTGATACCGTGTCATTTTCAGAGGGAGGGAAGGGGAGGGAGGGGGAGGGGCGGAGGGGGGAGGCGAGGGAGGGCGGGGGCGGGGGGCAGGGTGAGGAGGGGCGGAAAGGGGGGGGGAAGGAAGGGGGGGGGAGGGGGGCGGCAGCTGCAGCCAGGGGGGTGGGGGGGCGGATGTTCTGGCTGCCTGCGGGGGGCGTCGCGCACGGCGTGGCCAACGCGGGTTCTTCCAATTCAAGGGCGCGCGCGGGGGGGGAGGGGCAGAGAGAGCACGCGGACGGCAGCGGACGGGGAGTACGGCACGGCGGGCGGGGCGGAGCGAAGGGGGGAGGGGCGCGGAGGGAGGGGGGAGCAGGGGGGGGCGGCAGCAGGAGGAGCAGGAGGGGCATGATGCAGTCGGGCGTGTCCCTCCACAGGAGGAATATTCAAACGTAGTCGGTGTTCGTTGTTGTGTTTGTTCGTTTTAGAAATATGTGGGTGCTGTTTCGGCGTTTTTTTGATGATGGTTGAGTAGTTGCGTGTTTTTATTATCTTGCACAGGGTGTCTAGAGCTCCGGCCACTTTATTCCGCGTCGCACCCCCCCCCGCGCCCCCAGCGCCAGAGTGGAACCCCCGCGCCGTGGCTCTCTGCCCCGAACCCCTTTGCGTCCCCAGCGCCCCAGCGGGAACCCCGCTCACTGCCCCCTCCGCCACGACCGCTTTATTCCGCGTCGCGACGCACACCACCTCCCCCACCTCCCTCCCCGCGTCCCCAGCGCCCCAGTGGGTGCTCCGCGCCGTGCCCCCTCCGCCCCGACACCGCGTCGCGACGCGCACCACTTCCCCTCCCCCCCCGTCCCCAGAGCCCCAGTTGGACCCCCTCCCCATGGCCCTCTGCCCCAAGTCCCGCCCAGTGCCCCCTCCGCCCCGACCATTTTATTCCGCGTCGCGACGCACACCACCTCCCCCACCCTCCCCCCCCCGCGTCCCTAGCGCCCCGGTAGGGGCCCAGCCCAGTCACCTCGAGCCCCCCCGCGTCCCCAGCGCTCCGGTAGGAGCCCCGCCCACAGCCCCCTCCGCCACGAACGTTTTTTCCCGCGTCGCACGGCCCCCACCGTCCGCCCCCACTTTGCTTGGGTTTGTTTCTGACACAGATCGTAAGTACCATGTTGCAGTAGCGGTACCACTGGCGTTGCTAAGCCCAAAATTGATTGGCCAAATTGAATCCCGCAAGATATCCCCAAAATTGCTGGGCCAATGTCTTCGCAGCCAGCCGCCGAAATGTGTCCCCAGCTGAAATCCTTCTGGCCCGGTTATCGTTTTTTTATGCCGTAAGAACGGACATGTGATGAGCATCTCGGATTACAGTTGGTATTTGGGCTCGTGCGAGGCGTTCCGCATTGTTGGCCAGGGCTTCGGAAGTTACGTCGCATTCGAGACAATTTCGAAACGTTCGTACCAGGTCCCCCTCAGCCCAACGGATAAACCACGATTCGTTCGTCTCAGCGTCTCTCCGAAAATATATTTGTCCTCAGTTCGGCACGGAAGGGTTATGCTGGGCGTTTTGCTCGGAATTGCGGATATCAGAGCTCGCGGAAAGTATCTTACGTGCTAGGCGCCAATTTTGACGATAATACTTGAGTTGCGTATAGTTTTGCTCCCCCATTGTAGCCAAACGGTGGGCTTGTTCAAGTTGTTGCGTTCCAGGGTTTGGCATCTTTTTGTCTTCCCACCTTCGAACCAACCAACGCGTTGTTTCAATTATTGTTCGCTTGCGGTGCCGCCCCGCGTAGTATAATTAACCGGGGAAGAAGGATAGGCAAAGTCCAGTAGGGGATGTTTTCTTTGAGCATCGGGTGCGCCCACGCAAACGGCACCACGCAGAGTGAAACAAACGCGACGGCGCAGGCTAAGCAGCGACAGAGGAGGAGGAGGAGGAGGAGAGGAGGAGGAGGAGGAGAGGAGTGGTCAGAGGACCTCGAGCTCGGCCAAAGGTGGCGGTGCTTCCAAAGGGAGTTCGGGCAAGTCGCTGTGCTCGTGCAGCACGGCGAAGGCCACTGCGTTTTGCAGAGCTACGCCGCATCATCCCCACCATCGGTGCACCAAGCTCGAGGCGACCCCACGGCGCACCCTAGGATGTAAGTGGCGGGTCCGTTCGAGAGGTAATGCCGGAACTACTTGTACAGCTTGGTGACACCATCGGCCGAAAACCTCAGCTCCTAAACAATACAACGCACCTAAACCAGAATCGTTCACTTCTGTGTAGGTAATGTTGTTGTTTTGTTCTGCTTCGTGGAGAAGGCGGCCTCGTTGGTTGATAGTGCCAGGCCGAGCCTGGCCCGTAGTAGTAATAGGAGACACAACCGTTACATCGCAAAAGAGTGGTCGTCCCCGTGCCACTTGGAGTCCAACTGCGATGATATCCAACCGTCGGTTATCGATCGTAGCGACTGGGATGTGTGTATCCCGCAACATACGCTCGATATTGCGATCTGGCAGAAGCCATCCTGCTTCTTGAAATACCTGGCGCTATGAAGTAAGCACACCCGAATGTCGGCCTTGCCATCGTCCCCCGTGGTTGTCATTAAGCCTAGCATGACCATGTGGGTCCGGACTATCAAATAACATTGCGATTCCCAGCCGACGTAAGATTGCGCAATGTAATTTGTCATTTTGGAATCGCAAAGTCGGTGTTGTTGGACAGATTGTCAACCATACAGATGAATAAGGACCCCCACATGAAAATAATCTGGCCTTTCCTGGGGCAGCTGCGTTGACCCGAGCACCTTGGCCCCCCAATATTCGGCGCAAATCCTCCCAAGTGTAATGTTCCCGGGCATTCGATGCATGGTATTGCCATCCGTGGCTCCATTCTCCCAAGGATATGTCTGTCGGTGGCACTTCTGGTGGACGCTCGCCGAGAGCCAAAGCTGCCCAATTGGGGCGTTCCCGCAACCCACTCGACGTGCACATCCGGCCAGCCGTTTCAGCATCGACCAAACATTATGGACCGTCATTATTTTGGATGTGCCGTCGTGCGTATAATGAGTTCAAATGAAATAGTATTGCCCGGCCGACAGCGGGGAATCTATCCAAAATCACAGGTAGAGAGTCAGCCCAACTCGCCCAATATGCTGCCGGTGCCGTCCGGAGGGAGTGTCGCAAATCCATCCCGCCGTAATGAAGAGGTAATTGAGCTTGGAGCACCCATGTATCGTAGTCGATACATACCATGTAATCGCCTATCCCACCTGTCCCGTGTTGGCACACTGAGTAATAGCCGGAATGTTGTTAAAATGCCATTGTTGTGTTGTTGTACATTGTTCTCCGTACCATATGCGAACGAAAGGGATCAACCTCCGTAGTCGACCATTCGACAATAATTTCTCAAACATACGGCGCCGACATATGTGATCAAAAGCCCCCACACCGTCCACGCTGAGAATCACCTTCGTTGGGTGTACATCCGTGAGGTATTGGAGCAAGTGCACTGCTGAATCCGTCCCACTACGGTCGCAAATCTAAAAGTTGGCAGGTTTCATCGTCTCTCGAAATTCCGTATGGAATTGGTGTGCAAGTGTTTTCGATTCTAGTCGACGGAAAGTGTCCCCGGACGAGATGCCCTTGATGCGGTTGTTTGGTTTCTTGAGGGCCGTAATCTTGGAGATTGCCATCGCATTCCGGATTATTCTTGGGATTTTTGCATTAGCCAGCCGTTGTGCAACGTTGCATGATGTATCCAGCGCCACATCGTTGTCGAAGGTAGTTTTACATTTTTCGTAGCTGGCCCCCAAGATGCCAGCACTTAAGCCACTCCTGCATTGCCTCAATATTGTAGCAAAAATGTCGCGGTTCAACATAATGGGAACATCCGGCACAAAATTCCGCGCATTTTTTGGCAGTGGTTCAGCTGGGTCGAGTGGGCGGAGGCGCGTGTCTGACAATTCATCCAAGGTATCTTGGGTTCTTGGGGCACTCGTTCTTGTTGTCGCAGTGGCTACTCCCGTCCTTCGCGGCCTGGCTGGTTGGCGCCGTATGGATTTGATCAATTTGTCCCATCGTCCTTCGTCGAACCACGCAATCCGTCTCTTGAGCTCGCGTTCGCCAGCGTTCCAAGTTTGACACTGGGTCTGACCATAGAGCTTTGTATTTGCGTGTATCTCTCGGCAGCTTCCCACGACGACGGCGAGGGCGACGACCCCCGCCGTGGGGCCCCGGAGTTGACGAGGGAAAGTTCCGGGCACATTTGCACGACAATTTGGGTGGCTCCTTCGACGCGTGTGAAAACTTGACAGATCGAGCCGCCAACCTGGAGGCAACCATGATCTCCGCTACACGTACTGCTTTGCTCGGCCGTTCACCCGCGACGACTCCGAGGACCCGGCCGGCGCCGGATCCTGCCATCGAGAAAATGGTCAAAGAGAGACGCTCTATACGCTCGAGGGGCGACCTCACCCCGGCACAGAAAAGAGCTGAAAGAAAGAGGGTAAGCAAGAGCATCAAAAAAACAGTGCGCAGGAGGGTAAAGCTTCGCAGGACCGAGAAAATCGATCGCATGTTGAATGTGTTCCGAGGACTGAAAGAATTGACTCAAGCTGGTTCTTCGAAAAAGAAGGCAGCCATAGCGCAAGTCAGAGGCAAGGACGGCGAAATCCGTGATAATGTGGATGAGATTTCCGAGGTCTTCGCCACGTTCTACGAGGATTTGTGCAGCAGCAAATGTGTGCCTTCGAGCACTCCGCACGCTCCAAGAGGCGAGATTCCTGCTTTCTCTGCCGAGGAGCTCAAGACAGCCCTGCGAACGCTGAAGCCAGGGAAGTGCAGGGACGGCGCGGGCATCTTGGCCGAAATGCTCAAGCACGGTGGATCCTCACTGCATCATCGCGTGCTGGAGTTGTTCAACGATGTTCGGAGGCCTGACAGGGAGCCCCCAGAAACGTGTCGACAAACCAAGTTAATCGTCATTTTCAAGAAAGGCGACCCCGATCTTCCGAAGAATTACAGACCCATTGCCATACTACCAATACTCTACAAGCTCTTCGCGCGCATGCTCTGTAACAGGTTGGAGCCGACTATCATCCAGCAGCAGCCAGTCGACCAAGCAGCGTATAGATCCGGATTTTCCACCGAGGACCACCTTGTTGCAATGACGCTGTTGGTAGAGAAATGCTCGGAGTGGAACCAGGAGCTCTGGCTGGGCCTTGTCGACTTTGACAAGGCGTTCGACACCGTTGAGCATGACTCGCTCGGGCAGGTCTTGCGTGACTGTGGCGTTGGCGCGCCATATATAGATCTACTGAAGAAACTTTACAGCAATCAGACAGCCACGGTGGTCGCGGGGGCCGAATCACGCCCTTTCTCCTTGAAGAGAGGCGTGAAACAGGGAGACCTGATCAGCGCGCTCCTTTTCATAGCGGCGCTGGAGAGATGCTTTCAAGCGCTCAAGTGCACATGGGGAGCCCTCAACAAGAGGCGTTCGGGCCATTATTTCGGGTTTGTTATCGACGCGGAGGACAGCCCGCTGACCAACCTGAGATTCGCCGACGACGTTTTATTTTTTGCGCAGAGCCGGAGCGACGTGACGAAGATGTTATGCAATTTGCAGCACGAGGCGTTCAGGTACGGCTTGGTCATGCATCTGGGCAAGACAAAGATTCTCGCGAACAGGGGGGTGGAAGTCGGCGCCACCGCTCTCGTCGGGGGCGATGCAGTCGATATATTTCAGCAGGCGTGCTCTGAGAAATACTTGGGAAGAGTTCTGATTTTGGGAGATTACCATGGCGCTGAGCTATCTCATCGGTTGGCTTCAGCGTGGAGAGCACTTGGTAAATGCAGGCATGTGTTGTGCAACAGGCAGTTCGCGCTGATGTCCCGCTATGAGCTCTTTGAATCTGTGGTCACGCCCACGGCGCTGCACGGTTCGTCTGCATGGATTGCGCGGGAAGACACCAAGCAGGCACTGCGCAGCGTTTGGAGGAAAATGATGCGAATGATTTTCCAAGCGCCGCGCAGGAAAGAAGAAACGTGGATCGCATACATTCAGAGATCCACGAGACTCTGCGAAAAACATGTCTCGAAGCTGGGCGGGAAGAGTTGGGCGGAGACTCAGTCAGCGAGGAAACGGAGATTCACTGAGCAGTTACTGGCCGACGACAGTGGCAAGTGGCCGAAGAGACTCTTGATTTGGAAGCCGTGGCGCCGGACAGTGGCGCGCAGGTGCACGGGGCGCCCTGTCAGGAGATGGAACGACTCGTGAGGCGGAGCTTCCTGTTTTCTGCAGAGCCAGGCTGACTCCTCCTCCTCCTCCTCCTCCTTCCCTCCATAGCCATTTTGGCTCAAGGCTGATGCTTTGGCGGGCTGAGCCCGCATTGGCAAGATTGGATCGCTCTAGTCCGAGCGTGGCAAGGTCTCTTGAGACCTGGCAAGTTTCTTCCCTCACGGCCCCTGTGTGCCAAGCCTTGTGCCCATCATGGCGTGGCGCCGCAATGCCCCCTGGTGGCGTGGCCGCCGCGACGGACGCGGAGGCCGCTACGGCAACGGCCACTACTCCGCGTGCTCCAAGTGCAGCCACTGGGAGTGCGACCACTTTGGGAACACCGAGTGCAGCAAGTGCGGAGGCGCGTACGTCGACGATGGCCCTGGCGCGCATCCTCCTGCCCCTGCTGCTGCTCAAGTGGATTTCGCTGCTGACCTCAACGCGTTGGCGGCCAAGTACCCCACGTACGCGGCCGTGCTTGGGCAGCTCCAAGCAGCCGCTCCGCCGCCGCCTCCAGAGGTGCACGCCCCTGCCACGGACAATGACATCGAGAAGCAGGTCGCCGCCAAGCGCAGCGTGCTCTCGAAGGCGGTGGAGATGGCCAGTCGCAAGGAACGGGCGCTGCAAGCGGATGTGGAACAGCGTCGCCAAGCCGTGGTGCGAGCCCGCGACGCGTTGTTCAATGCTGAGTCCAAGCACGCGGAGAAGGAGACGGAGCTGCAGGAGGCCGTGGACTCTTTTCGCCGTGCCAATCATGAGAAAGATAAGTTCAACGCTGATGCCTATCGCCTCGAACTGCAACGTGCTGAGCAACAAGCGGCAGCAGCGGCGCAGCAGGCAGCCGCTGAGCATGCCCGCGCAGTCGCTCGTGCAGCCAGGGGCGTGGGCAACGGTGCAGAGGCTGGAGGAGTTCAACCTGGTGGTGCAGGCGGCCAACCTGGTGTGCATGGTGTTCCAGGCGCTGGCGTACCTCCTCACGGTCCTCCAGGTGCGCAGTTGCCTGGCATCACTGAGAGCGGGCAAGTGGACTTCCTGCGGGTCCAAGAACATCTACATGAACTCTCGGAAGCGGAGCTGCAGCGGTTCCACCAGCGGTCGCATCTCTCGCCCGACCAGTGGATCGAGATGCGGAAGGTGGCCATCCAGCAGCGCAGCGCCGAGGTCGATTTCGACATGGGTGAAGAGGCGCAGAGTGAGGCCGGCACTGGGACTACTGATTCCCCTGAATTCAATGAGCTGGCAGCCCTGCGCAAGCGCGCAGCTGAGCGCGGACTCACTCCCGAAGCCTCTGAACGCTACGGAGTCCTGCTCAGCAAGGCCGCCCGCTTGCGGGCGGGCAAACGCGCCAAGAAGGCTATTCGTGACCAATTTTCTGTCACTTTCTCTCTGTTCTGTTCGGCGGCAGCCTCCCAGCTCACCTTTGCTGGCAGCCAGCCAGCGGCAGGAGGGCAGACGCCCGCGGCAGCAGCGGAGCCTGCCGTGCAGCAGCAGCAGCCAGCGGCCGCGGCGGCGCCTGGAGGGCAGCCGCCGCAGCCTGCGGCCGCAGCAGCGCACAGCGAAGCCCCGCCCCGCCTTTAGCGAGGCGGCCCCGCCGCGTCCGAGGCGCAGACGTGGCAAGCAGGATAGCGTCGAGATCAGGTTTTGCAACGTTACCAGCTGGTCTGATGTCACCAAAGGTTTTCTCTCTTCCAGGATATCTGAGATGGGCGCCACGTTCATCGTCGAGCACCATCTTCGGCAAGATGGTGTTCACAAGGCCAAGAAGGATTCAAGAGTAATGGGTTGGAACCCGCTCTTCCAGGCTGCTCTCGACTCACCAGGAGGTGGTTCTCATGGGGGCGTTGCAGCTTTCTGTCAAAAGGGTCTGTCCTGCCAACGTTTTCTCTCTGGGCTCCAGGCTGTGAGTGTTGGTTCGGGCACGTGCTGGTTCTTCCTGGAGTTCAGGCTTCACGGGATTTCCATGGCGATTGGTGTTGTGTACCTGGTGTCGTCGATTGGGGCGACGGGCGAGAATCTGTCTCGGCTGAGGGGAATCGCGGAATTCATTGCCACCTTGGGTGTTCCCTGGGTCCTGCTCGGTGACTTCAATATGTCGCCTGATCTGTTGCTGGAGTCGGGTTTCCTGGAGATCACCTGGTCCAGGGTTCGAGTTCCTGACGATGCCGAGTATACGTGTGACGTGAGTATGACGATGATTGACTACGCTGTGTGTTCCAGGGACGTGGCCCCCCTCGTGAAGGTTCGGACGGTGTTGGAGTCCCCGTTCAAAACGCACGCATGCCTGCACGTCACGATTGACGCGGATGTTTTAGAGCAAGTGGTCCAACGTAGAGGTCGGGCTGGTGCGCTTCCTGTTGCCGCTGGGCCTGACCATCTGTGGCCGTACTATTTGAATATGGCCTGTGCAAGTGGGTTTGACTGGCACACACCTCCTGATGTCAAGGAAGCCACCCTAGAGCATACCCTGCAGCATGTCTCTGATGGGCTTTCGGAGGACTACGCCTTGTGGTCGAGGACCTCGGAAATGGTTTTCCTGTCTCGGGGATGTGCGTTAGTTGACGAACCTGAGCGGCTCCTGGGGCGGGGTTGTGCTGTCTCCAGGTTTTCGGGCACTATTCGGAGGCGTGGGCCCAACAAGCAGGCCTTCAATGTTCCGCACCTCTGTTTCTGGTCTATGGTGTACTCTCGGCTGTTCGGATTCTGGAAAGCTCTCAGTGGGAAGGCTACCTCGGCGCAGGCTAGGCGTTTGGCTTCCTTTCTCGCTGGGCAGGCAATCTACATTTACCTGAATATTGAGCCTCTCTGTTCCCCTGCTGATGCGAGCGATTGGATGGCTGACCTCACCAGCCTCCCCGACTCGCCTGATCTCGTGCACAGGTTGGTGGATAAGGCCGCCGATGTCTGTAAGCTCGCCCGGGGCAAGGTTAAGGCCTCTAATTCTGCTGGAGTCAGGAAGTGGTTGAAGGATGCGTTACCAGGAGGAGCGAGGAAGGTTCGCAACTGGTTGAAGAGTGATGATAAGGTGGCGGTGGAGTACCTGGTCGCGCCTGACGGCATCCGACAAACCCCTAACGACATGATGAAGTATAGGCATGACTTCTGGGCCCGCTGGTGGGCCCCCACTAAGGAGCATCTGCAGGTTCTCAATGATACCCTTGGTGAGCTCAGGTCCCATGCCCAGACTTTCCTCCTGGAGTTGCCAGAGTTGGAGCCTCGGGACATCCTGCAGGCGGCAACGTGCTATGCTAGTGGCACTGTTGTAGGCATCGATCAATGGTCTCCCAGGGCTTTCCTGCAGTTACCGTGTCAAGCGGTCCAGTGTCTGGCAGCCCTGTTCAATATGTGCGAGCAGGCCCTGACGTTTCCGCAGCAGTGTTTCTTGAATATCATGGCGTTGCTTCCCAAGTCTGTGCACGACGAGCGCGCGATCAGCAAGTGTTCCACTATGTACCGCATGTATGCACGTATGCGCGGTGATCACATCAATGAGTGGACGGCAGAGCGCACTGATTTCTGGGATAGTGCAGCGCGTAAGTCCTCAGCGTTGCAAGCAGCGCTTCTGCGCGAAGTTTGCCATGAAGTTGCAGGCGCTTTGAAGTTTGACTCGGCCTCTCTACATTGGGACATGGAGAAGTTGTTTGACTCTGTTGTGCCTGCCCTCTTGGTGCAGCTGGCTCTGAAGGTTGACTATCCTCCTCACCTCCTCTACTTCGGCATGCTTGTGCACACTAGCCCTAGAATGCTCGAGGTTGAGAGGGTGGTCTCGCATGTCATTGGCACGGGCAAGTCTATTCTCGCTGGATGTTCGCAATCGGTTCCATGGGCCAAGACATATCTGCATGGGGTGCTCGTGCGTGCACACAGTCGTCTACCAGTGGTGTCGATTCGATCATGCATTGATGACATTACGCAGTACATGCAAGGCACGCGCAAATACATTGTCTCTGCTCTGCCTGCTGCAGCCGCTCAGTTCTGCCGAGATGTGGGCACACTTGGCTGTTTAATTTCGCCTAAGTCTGCTGCAGTTGCATCGTCCTCTGCCCTGGCCAAGGAGTTGTCTGCTAAGTTTGATGAATTGGGTGTCTCTATCTCATTCAAAGGGCAGGCGAATGATTTGGGGGCCATGACCACGGCGGGGAGGAGGAGATGCGCATGGAAGATCAAGCTGCGCCAGAGGGCGGCTTTCAAGCGCTCTCGTAAGCTGGCTTATCCCGCTCGCCTGTACGGTCGATCCCGCAAGATCTTTAAGCCTGGTGTGCTCAGCGTCGGATCGTGGGGTCATTCTGTGCTTGGTTTGACCGCGTCCGATCTGCAGAGTTTCCGATCGCAGGCCGCTAAGTGTTCAAGATACTGGAGTCAAGGTGCTTGCACCTCGACCGTCCTCAGCCTGGTGGGCCCCCTGAGCCAGGATCCTGAATATCGGCTGCGTACTGAACAGTTATCCGCTATTGCTGGTGCATGGCATGCCCTGCCCCCTGGACAACGGCAAGGGGTGCGCAAGGCGTGGGAGCATCATCGGGCAAGGCTCGTCTCTCTCCCGCCTCAGCGCCGCTGGCGCACGGTGGCTGGTCCCATCGCGACCACGATCTGCGCCCTGCTCGATTTGGATTGGTCGCCCACTGCGCCCACGCAGTGGGGCGCGCCTAGCGGAGTGCTCTGCGTGGAGGCGCGCGACTTCATGTTTCATCTCCGTGCCGCTGTGCCGCAGACTGTTTCTCGGAGACATGCTAGCAAAGCGGTTCAGCATTTCTGTGGAGAAGGTTTGGATGGAGGTGCTGATTTCACGGTGTTCAGAAGAATGCATGCCAAGATGATCAAGAAGGAACAGTACGTTGATGCCGCATTGCTCGTGTGTATTGTTACGGCAGCTACCTGGCCCGAAGCTCGGCTTCAAGATGCGGGGTACCAAACAGACGGCATCTGTCCTAGGTGTGGGGCCGCTCGTGAAACTAGCCTCCACCGCTGTTGGGAATGCTCGGCCAATGCATCGATCGTCAGCATCGCGATGCATCGCTCTCTTGATCTTGTCGAGATGGCGAACCAGCCAGAGCATGTCAGGAGTGCGTTCTGGACTCGTGGGCCCCCGCCCTTGGCTGCCGCTGTCGCGCCCATTCCGCCGCCCGTGGAGATTGTGAAGTCTTGGGGCCTCTTAGTGGGGGACCAGGTGGTGCGTTGGGGACGATGCGGTTTGGACGGCTCTGGGGGGATTTACGCTTCGGATTGGGGGCTCAGGCGCTGTGGATGGTCTGTGGTTCGTTTCGACGAGGACAGTCTCCAGAATTTGGACCTGGCCTGTGACGCCATCCTCATGGGCACCCTCCCCACTACGGCTCAGTCGAGCCCCAGTGCCGAAATGTATGCTATGATTATGTTGCTTAGACACACTGTGGGTGATATTGTGGCCTACTCTGATTATCTACTTTTGGTGCGTGGTCTTCGTAGGGACAGGTCTTATACCTCTGCTACGTCGCCTATGCTCGACCTCTGGGACCAGCTCTGGACGCTCCTGGATGCTCGTGAAGGCTCTGTAGAGGTGTTGTGGACCAAGGCCCACTCGACGGCGGGGACTCGTGAGGTTTGGGGCATCTCTAGGGTTGAGTTTTTCCTGAATTTTGTTGCTGACTTTTTTGCTGGGGAGGCTGCCGCCTTAGGAGAAGTCTCACAGGACCATGTGAATGTCTTGAATGAAGTAGACGACATGGCGGGGAAGGTCTTGTCGCGTCTGCTGGATGCGACAGATAATGTGCGGGTCGGAGCGTGAGGCTGTAATCGCGCACCCTGGGGCTCCCCGAGCGCGCTCGTCTCATGACCTCGCGGTGTTGCGTGGCGTTCTGTATTGCCGAGTCTGCGCGAGGTTTATGGTACAGAATTCCCAGCTCTTCGGAGAGGAGTGCCCACCAAGTCACACTCCGACGAAGGCAGGCGCCAGCGTGCTGTCTCGCCTTAGGCGAGGCCTTCCGCCGAAGAGCGGTATGAATTTCCCATATCCCTGACGTGTACAGCGGGATCACTGACGGGTTGCTGTGTGTGTGGTGTGAAGCATGCGCCCTGGCCAGACCAGGTCCCCGCCGAGCGCCCAGCCAGTCTTCCTCCTCCTCCCCTGTCAAAGGAGCAGTTGCGATGGTGAAAAGGGAGCGGCTGCAATGTACCCGTGGGGGCTGCGCCTTCGGAGCCGAGTCGCCGCTGTCCAATGTTGACGGGTAGGTTTCTCAATCCATCCATCGGTGGTCCTTCATTCGTCTTTGCTTCTCGGAAGCTCTCTTGCTCGTGTGCCGTTGGTCGTCCTTCTCGTCGTTCGTCCCTCCTTCTCCTCTGCCTCCGCCTCCCGTCCCCGCTCGTCGTGCGTCCCTCTCTTCTTTCCTGCGTTTGTTTTCCAGCGTCTGACGTTTCATTATTACGGCCTCTCTGTGCGCTAAGCGTACTACGGAGCCGTCCCGCCGGACGGATTGGTGGCCTGTTTGTTTCTGCCTCTGCCCCCATGCAAAGTATGGTCCAGGAGAAGGCGTGGTAAGAACAAATGTAATGTGCAAGTTTGAACGCACGGTGCCTCTTCGTTTGTCTTGTTTGTCCCATGCGGCGTATGCCGATTCCTCAGTAGCCGATAGTTGGGTAAGAATACAACCGAAATGGTTTCGTATAAAATGCGGCAACCTTCTTGATCGTCGGTATATGTTTGGTAAGGATCGTTGCCAAATGTATGATACCCAAAGACACCCATCCGTTCGGGAGTCGTGCGACTGGTGACCCGTATGAACCCCACCTCGGTCCCGCAGGTGCTCGTGATTGCATCCTGTTGGTTTCCGCGGCTGTTGGTTTTAGAGGGGCTGCGTGCCTTTCCGGTCGCATGGTGACACGGTGGTGGAATTCATAAACGAGCCGGGGGATTGTCGTACAACACCATGGCCATTGCGATGAAGGCGGTCTCGAAGACCAAAGAGCGAAGAAATGCGTTTGATGTTCAATGCAGAATGTATTTTTGAGCAGTCCGTCCGTCCCATCTAATGATCGATGCTGTAATTTTCCACTGGCATGTTATTTGATTAATTACTATCACGCTATGACGTCAATGTCTACGAACACCTGCGTAAAACGTGAGTATGGATTCTCGATGCATCAAGCAATTTTCCGGCTTTGAACTTTCAAAACGTTTATTTGTTTTCTTTCCGTATGCGAAACAAAGTTTTATTTTTCACTATATGCCGTTGCGCGAATCACGAGCACCCAAGATGGGTGTTCGCGAAAATCTAAATACGACAAACGAGAAAAAAATCAAATCACGATACATAGCTACATATCACGGTTATCAATTTATGTGTTGGAATGCAACTGTGAACATAGCGAACCGCCCGTCTCTAAACCGCCCGTCTGCAAACCGCCCACATTGGGGTTGAGCCACATTTGGTGCTGGATAGGTGGAGCCATATGCAGTAATGCCTTGCCGAAACCAATTCATTCAAGGGTGGGTCCGGTTGGTTTTAGCAATTGCCTGGGACAATTGCTTGTCAAATGGTAGTGAAGGCAAGGGCTGGTCGTCACGTTGCAGAGGCGTTCGGGAAGGGGGAGTGACAAATTGTTGTCGCTTCGCGAATCCCCACCAGCCCATCCAGAAACGATGCCCAGAGGAATTGCCTCGATCAGAGAAGTGGGCAGCACACAGAAGAAGCCATTATGAGACATCTTGGGATATCTTGAGCCATCTTGGAGGTCATTTTGGGCTCTCCCAGACGCTCTTGGAGTCATCTTAATCCGTGCCCCCCCCCAAGAGGCCTCCATGTGGCTAAAACCTGTGTAGAATCAATGATTAGGCATTCTCGCCGAGGCCTCTTGGAGCATCTTGGGTGCATCTGGGGGGGCTCTTGGGGCCTCTTGGGGGTCTCTTGGGGGCCTCCGGGGGGCCTCTTGGGGGCCTCTTGGGGCCATTTTGGGGCCATCTTGGGACCTCTTGGGGCTTCCTGGGCGCTTCTTGGGGCCATCTTGGAGGAGATCGATCAAACAAGAGGGGGGGTTTAATTAGCGTCCCCCCTCGGAAGCCCCTAAAATCGCCTCTTGGACCCCTCTTGGAACGCTCTTGGAGTGCTCTTGGGCGCTCTTGGGGCCGTCTTGGGGCTCTTTTGGGGCTCTCTTGGGGCCCTCTTGGGCCATCTTGGAACCATCTCCAGGCCTCGGATGGCCATCGGAAGCGAAAAGGCGAGAAAGCAAAAATCATTGATTTTCCTTAGGTTTTGGGAC